CAAAGTCAGTGTGATGTTCACTGCTCTTCTAGAGGTTGGCCACCAGGTGGCAGCAACCTGATGGTAACTGACTGATGAGTTGAATCACTGACCTTTTGGTTAGTAACCCGTGGCGTCCCCAGGGTTCCTTTCTGCAAAGCTTAGGAACCTTTGCCAACAATGCCCTGGTGACTCAGGGGTTAGGCACTCGGCTACTAACCAAAAGGTCAACAGTTCTAGTCCAACAGCCATTCTGCAGAAGAAAGGTGGCAGATCTCCTGGTCTTTTCTCCCCCCCGAGAAAAGCAGATCTGGTCTTTTCTCCCCCCGAGCCACTGGGTGGGTTCGAACTGCTGGCCTCTCGGTTACCAGCCAAGCAGTGAACCTTTGCACCATCACCATCCTGTTGCTGATCAATGGATGTACAGAGAGCACTGTGCCTCGGTGGCTGCCAGGGGTGGGTGATGGGAGATGGGAGTACGGCCCTTGAGAGCGTAGATCCTTGTTATTTGTGTGCTGGAGAAGTAGCACAGGGCGGGGCTGTGGTGAGCACAGCTGGACCAAAATGAACGATGCCAAGAAGGTCACAAGAGAAGGATGCTGCACGAAAGAATGTGACACGTATAATTGGGTGGCCACACCAACAATAACCAGAATATGAATGTCTGATCGTACTTGTGTGGGTATGTTCAGGTGCGTACATATACATGCACAGATCCAAGTAGCTATACATATGTGTATACAGGTAGTTGTGCATGCCTATATAATCTTAGAGGCCACCATTACAGTTACCTGTTCAGACAAAACCTAACACCTTGCAAGAATGGTTTTCTGGGTCTAAATCTTAGACCTTTGTCTCATGGGACAACTCAGTTAACTGTTACCACAAAATCTATGTTGTTCATCCTAGTGAGGTGAGCGGCACCAGTCTCTACTTATTAGGAGCAAAAGAGGAAACCAGAGTCTCATAGGAGAAGAGTCTACTGGCTGAGAGCATACACACAGCACAGCCACATTGACACCGAGACCGAAAGAACTAGATGGTGTCCGGTCATTGTTACCAACCATTCTGCTCGGGGCACAAGAGATAGACCCTGATAGAATGAGAAAAACACAAACCAACGCAAATGCTTGAAAAAATCACTGGACCATTTGAGACAAAAGGACTGGTCCCCTGATACTCTTTAAAATCACCCCTTGGGTCACCTTTTAGTTAAATAACTGATTGACACACACAAAAAAGAATACTATGCATGAGTATGGTGTGCCATTTAAAAACCTTTTAAAAAAA